CAGAATTAGCATTAGGGTGGTTTTGATTTTATAACGCTAACGCTAATGTTTTCTCTGTCTTCTATGTCTTTATTTGGGCCTGTTGTAAGGTTATCTGTATTGCGTACTTTCAGACAAGCTGTCTTTTTTTCGTCTATTTCTACATTATTTGATAAATACCTTGAAAAGTCGCGATTGATAGCCAAAGATAAACTTAAGAGACGAGGGTTTCCTTCTACTCTAAGCACTACTGCATCCGGTTTCGATCTGAGAGACTTACAGTTATTAAGAGTGACCTTTCAACCAACCCCATTCAAAAGCAACGTCCTTCCTGATGTAGATGGTACGAACTATACTGTATAAAAAACCCCTTCAATGAGCCTAATGTTTACAATTTGATTATTTCTTAGACATTGGCTTTCCGGAGGAATACATTCTTCCAAATATCAGTGAGAAGGAACTCTTAAACAAAAAATTTGAAATCGAAGACTTTAAAGAAATTTCAGACGATCAGGTCCAAACATTCTTAATTGACCTACACGAAATTGTCAAGAATGTACATTCCGATGAAGGTATGGAGGAAGCTGAAACAGATACGTTGGTGAACAATCTACTAGTTCAAATTGTTGGCCTGCATCGCTATCCATTGAGAGTTATGTAAGAATTATGATATACCTTTTGTTTATGACTAAATAATTTTTTTTTAAATTATATCCGAATTTAGACAGCACCCACGATGCAGATTATATATCGCAAGCGAAGTTTACATGACAGCAAAACCTGAATTCGTTATTAACAAAAAGAATATTTCTATGATTGTCATAGAGGTCTGTGTGGTTTAATGTTGGAAGCCTTTAAATTTGTAGACTCAAATAATTATTTTTTAACAGGATAAGCATATAAAAAGTAAAAACCTTATCCCTACAAAATGTTATGGTGAGGCGCAATTGGCCGCAGAAATGCTTGCATGTGGGAACGAAAACATGCTTCGTATTGCATCTCAAACTGGTGCAATTCTGGATCAAACTATATTTGCCGTCAGGGCTGTTTCTACATATTTTACATTCTACAAGACTGTAATCCCTAAAGGATACTGGAAGGAACTTGGTTATGGATTGCCACGTAAGGGGTCAATTATAATTAAAAGATGGCCAGAAGAGATGCATCCATCAGGTGGTCTGGATATCGCGGAACCAAGTGGAAGGCAAAATGTATTGGAAGCATTTTTCAAAATGCGTAAACAGCTTTTGCAATAAAGAGAAATTAATAAGATCATTTACATACTTTTAGTACAATTAATTTTAATAAAGCATTTATATGTCACGTATGCAATTGATATACAATAAAACCTCCGTAAATGCATATTCAAATCCTGCCCCAAATATATACTTGACCTTTATATCAAGTAAGACATTACTTTAAGATCGATATAATTATTTTTTTGTTCATTTTGCTACTTGTTCTTGTAAACAGTCGTAATATATATTATACAAAATTCAGAAATATGCCCGCTTATTGTAGAATATGTATAGTTTTTTAGGTAGTGACTTGAAGTGGTCCCAATACTCATAAATAACTTTTTCACTAATAAATCTATTCTTTTGAGATATTTGTATTTTTATAATATTGATCTTGAGTATAAAAAATCTTTTGGGCTCTTTCTTTTCTTTTTCGAATAGTAGTTTCAGGAGTACAATCGGGAAGTTGTTTTTCAATTTCTTTGTTTACCTCACTATTAGCATCATTTACATTATATGATTTTTCATAATGAA